CTCTGAGTGTCAATCTACCATCTATCTGCTGGTCGGGTTAGGTGATTGGCCTCCCGAGGTTCCACGGGGACGCCCACCTCGTATTCGTCGTTCCTAGGAATTCAGGGACTGGCCCTGGCCTGATACACTGGAGTCGAGAGGCACAGAAGGGGGTAAAAATTGTACCTGGATGAGTCCTTTGTCTTAAGTATACACATAGACTTAGAGCTCTTTAAAGATTAAGCTGTCACTTGGTACCATTATTTCTATTTTCTATCTTTATTTTCTTTGTAACCATTTTAAGATCAGTATTTGCTAGCAGTTAAGAAATAGCCATTGTAACCATATGATTTATAAGCTTCTTTAATAAACCTGTAACTGTTTAAGCTTTAACCGGACTCCTTCAGTTGCTGTAACAGAACCAAGCACAATTTAAAAGAACTCCAGCCAGTCATAGGGAGCAGATGCAAAAAGAGCTGGGAGACAGATCCGTAGGGGCGCCCGTCAGCCTCCCCTAAGGCCGCCCGCTGTGACAGGACTTTGTGTCCCAGCAGTTGAAGACTTGGGTGTATAACACACACACCACGCACTGCCCTGATCATCAGCTGACAACTTAAATAAAAAATTTAAGAGGGGGAGCCTTGTTAGTCTGTAACTTTAAAAACAATGGGGAGTACTGTGGCTCCTCAACCCTGGTCTACACTAGAGAGTTATTTCGGAATAGCCCCCCCCCTTATTTTGAAATAAGCAGAGCGTCCACACTCCCAAGCCTGTTGTTTCAAAATAACAGGCTGGTTATTCTGAAATCTGTACTCCTGCTTTCCTCAGGGAATAACACTATTTTGACATTGTTATTTCAGGAGTTATTCTTCTGAATGTAGCTATTTTGAAACTTCCTAGTGCAGACATGCCCTGGCTTAGAGACTAACAAAAATGTATGTAGCATCATGGGCTTTTGTGGGCAAAACCCACTTCCGCAGATGACTCCCAGTCCCAAGAGAGCAGTTACTTATCCTACATCAGTGAGTACCCTAGATCCCACACCCAAGCCGATGCAAGTAGCCAAATCGACTCTTAACTAAAAGTTAATCAGCGAAGAAAAGGACGTGAGAGTTCTAGAGAGGGTACAGCAGGTAAAATATATGCACAGATGAGTCACAGTTTGTAATTCCAAATGGTGGAATTACTTAACGGTCATTTTCCAAGAAGTCATTTCATGGTACCCAGATTGTCCCTGGGGGTCTTTCTTTGTCCCTGTTATACCTTCCTGAGAGAGTCCAAACAGCCCAGAGATGAAGAATCCTCTTTCAATCCACACTCATGGCCTTGTCTCAGAGAAAACAGGCTGACGGGGTCACTACTCACGTGGGCTTTTCTTCTGATGACAGAGTGGGAGGGATGCATTTTGAGTCTCTGACATCTGGTCACCCGGCACAATGCCTGCTGGCTTTGAAGTGAGCGATTTTCTATTAAAAGTTCTTCATTTGCATGCCACGGGGTGGCTTCCTCCATTGAGGGGATATTTAGTTACAGGGCTATACACAATGGAGACGCAGGGAACTACATTATAAGAAGATATGGTTCAGGGAAAACAATGCTAGTAACATCTCATTAGTTTTCATGAAGTTTAAACACAAACTACTAGTCACTGACATCTCCTAACCAGTTGTCTCTCTAAGCTGAGGGGAAACACAGCTTCACAGAAGATTAATCAGCCCCTCGCAGTCAGAGGCTCAGGGCTACCCAACTTAGAGGGAACCCTGCTCCTAACCCACATGTGGCCTACAGCTCTGGCATGCGCTGGAACATGGTCTGTCAGTCACACACTTTACAGCAGGAAATCTGGTGGCAGGGTAAAGAGATGGGCCCAGCTAATCCCGACCACATGGCCTAAACACAGAAGCTGTGTCTAGCCTGGCAAGTTTTTCCGCAAAAGCACCTGCTTTTGCGGAAAAACTTGCCAACTGTCTACACTGGCCGCTTGAATTTCCACAAGAACACTGACAATCTCATGTAAGAAATCAGCGCTTCTTACGGAAATACCATGCTGCTCCCGTTCGTGCAAAAGTCTAGACTGGCATGATTTTCCGCAAATGCTTTTAATGGAAAAGTTTTCCATTAAAAGCATTTGCAGAAAAGAGTGTTTAGATTGGCACGGACGCTTTTCCGCAAAAGTGCTTTTGAGGAAAAGCGTCCGTGCCAATCTAAACACTCTTTTCCGCAAATGCTTTTAACGGAAAACTTTTCCGTTAAAAGCATTTGCAGAACATCATGCCAGTCTAGACGCAGCCAGAGGGAACTGTGGAGGCTGATGCGGTATGGGCAGAGGGAACAGGACCTGTGGGAATCACACAGCCTCAGTGGTGCTGTCTGAATGCTGAGGGGGTAGAGTGGGTGAATGAGGAGAGGCAGCACCTCTCTGCCCCTCTGCTCTCCCTCACCTCTTATCCCATGATCCCCACTCAATAGCCCCCACACCCAATTCCCCGATTCGCAGCCCCCACTATTCAACCCTGTTTCCTCCCCAGAAACCAACCCCCTGCTCCCTCCATATTTCATCCCCCCAGAACACAGGCCTGTGGAGGATGAAGGAAGGGAACGGAAGGGAAGGGAAGGGAAGGGAAGGGAAGGGATGACCAACCCCAGGGACACTCTCCCTGAAGGGAACAGCCCCAGGTAGCCTAGGGGCTGGCAGGAGATGTGAGCAGGTGAATGGAATAAAGGTGGGGTCCGGTCCAAATGTGTTCTCGTTCCTATGGAAGGGTAACACTGCCCGCAAAGGGAAGGGAGGGGGAGTCTCTGATGTCTCACATGGTGTGAGCTCCACTTGGAGCGTTTTCCATACCGGGAACAGCTCAGAAGTTACATCCCGCGTGCAGCGTTCGGGATGGTTGATATTACGGGCACCCCAGACGAATCGTCCTCCATATTTCACGTCTCCACAGTGTGGGTCACTGATGTGTGAGGGCGGATTGAGTCTTTCCTGGCGCTCAAGCTGTTGCTTGGGTCCCTCATTTTTGGATTCTCTGATGTTTAATGAGGTGTGACGGCTCCCTAACTTCTCCCACTTTTCCAGAGAAATGAGGAAGATGCTTGAACAAGGACCCACCTTTACTCTGGACCCCCTGGTCCCCCCCGGCCTCCATCTTCCACACTTTTTCCCAGAGGAAGTTTTGACCAGGGTCTGAAGGAACCACACTGCAATTGCTCAATTAGCAAACTGCAAATCAGGGGGTCGACAATTTTCCAAACTGGGTGGACACAGGTTGGACCTCCCTGGTCCAGCACCTTTGAAACCTAACCGGTCCTGAACAAGGGGAGTTTGCTGGACCAGAGGGGGTCACATCCAGCCGCTGCACTCACAGACCCTGGCTCACGGAGGGGCCAGGTTCTCCTCCTGGCCACAGGACTTTGTGCTGGCCAAGGCCACCAGCCCTGGCACCAACCCCGGCTTCCAGACTCCTTGCCAGGCTCCATGCCCCTTCTTCTGCTGGTCTCAGCTGCCAGGCTCGATTGCCAGCCAGACCCCCTGTCCTCAGGCCACTGGCCCCACTGCCAGTCCTGGCCGCTGCGGGACTCTCTGGTCCAAAAACATCTGTGGTCCTGCCTGCACAGTAATTACTCACTTAACACGTGCCCGCTTAACATGTTTTCGCGATAGCACGATTTTTTGGGTGGAACGTTTTTTGAACAACAGGACCGTCCCCGAAATAACACGGTTTCCCCAGCCGGCCGGTTGCCGGCGGCTGCGCGGGGCTTCCACCGCCTCCCTTCAAAGCAGCGGAGGGTTCCATTCCCTGGACACCCCCTCTCACCGGACGCCTTGCTCCCTCTCCTCCAACCCAGCTTGCAGGCTGGCGGCTGGGTTTCCCCATTCCCCAACGCTTGAAACGCAACCCCCACCTTTTCCATTATTTTCAATGGGAAAATTGCTCCCACATTACACATTTTCACTTAATACGATCATTTTCTGAAACTTATCTACCGTGTTAAATGAGGAATTACTGTACTTCAATTCGGCAAGACAGCAACAAAGAGATTCTATAAAACCTTACTGGCTTCCCAGTAAAATGTGATGGGGTTTCCTGAAAATCTGGTTCATGGGGTTTCCTGAAAATCTGGAACAAAATGTTCGACCAGTCCCAAAGGATTGGCCCTCTTACCTCCCACAAGTTCATGAATTCTTCAACTCTTACATGCTCATAGCTGATTCTCATTAACTCAATTTCCTTACAAGAAGAAAAGAGAAGGAGATTTGGTTAAAAGATCACTACTCATACGGACATGAATAGAGTCCTTAGGTTAGCTTCGTAGCAGAGATGGTGCTTTGGAATTGAGAAAGGATTCTTTTCAGAATCATTTCATCCAGTGATTCATCCAGTGTCCAAATATTCATTGTCAGGATGGTCCAGATGTGGCTGTCGATTCAAATGCCTCCATTCCAAATAAAGCTTAAGAAGATCTAAGATGCAAGGTTCAGGTACCGTACCAAGAGTATTGCTACGAGTTTTTGCAGCCTCTCACTTATCTGACTTGGAATACTGACCCTAATTACTATTTACACGCTTATCTAACATTTCTAAAAGTTGAATCTGAGTCAATTAGCCTGAAAGCTGCTTAACTCTCTTAATGTGTTACAGAAATTTTGCTATTGTGTGGATTCTCTCATGTTTAATAAGGTATGATCTCTGTGCGAAACTTTTCCCGCAGTCCAAGCACATGTGGGGTTTCTCTTCTGTGTGGATGGCCTGATGTCTAACAAGCTTTGCCTTCTCTATGAAACTTTTCCCACAGTCCAAGCACTTATGGGGTCGCTCTCCTGTGTGGATTGCCTGATGCTTTACAAGGTCTGACTTCCGTATAAAACTTTTCCCACATTCCAAGCATTTATGGGGTCGCTCTCCTGTGTGAACGGCCTGATGTTTAACAAGTTCTGACAACTCTATGAAACTTTTCACACAGTTCATGCACTTATGGGGTTTCTCTCCTATATGGATGGCCTGATGGTTGACAAGGTCTGACCTCCATATGAAACTCTTTCCACAGTCAAAGCACTTATGGGGTCTCTTTCCAGTGTGAATTGCCTGATGTTTAAGAAGGCTTGATCTCCTTTTGAAGGATTTCCCACAGTCCAAGCACTTATGGGAACTTTCTCCTGAGTGGATGGTCTGGTGATTAATAAGATCTGATCCGCTTTTGAAATTTTCCTCACAGTCCAAGGACTTTTGAGGTCTCTGTCCTGTGTGAATTGCCTCATGCTTAGCAAGGTCTGACCTCCGTATGAAACTTTTCCCACACTCTAGGCACTTATGGGGTCTCTCTCCCGTGTGGATTCTCTGATGTGCTGCAAGGTGTGACCTCCAAATAAAACATTTTCCACAGTGCACACACTTATGACGTCTCTCTCCTGTGTGGACTGCCTCATGTTTTACAAGCTCTGACCTCCATATGAATCTCTTTCCACAGTCTAAGCACTTATGGGGTCTCTCTCCTGTGTGGATTGCCTGATGTTTAGCAAGATCTGATGTATGTATGAAACTCTTTCCGCAGTCTAAGCACTTATGGGGTCTCTCTCCCGTGTGGGTTGCCTGATGTTTAGTGAGATCTGACCTGCGTATGAAACATTTCTCACAGTCTGGGCACTTATGGGGTCTCTTTCCTGTGTGGATTGCCTGATGTTTAGTGAGATCTGGCCTCCGTTTGAAAAGTTTCCCACAATCTAAGCACTTATGGGGTCTCTCTCCTGTGTGGATGGCCTGATGTATAATCAGCTGAAACCTTCGTATGAAACTTTTCCCACAAATCAAGCACTTATAGGGTCGCTCTCCTGTGTGGATTGCCTCATGGGCTACAAGGTGTGACTTCCGAATAAAACATTTCCCGCAAGTTAAGCATTGATGGGGTCGCTCTCCTGTGTGGATTCTCAGATGTCTAACAAGATCTGACTTCTGTATGAAACTCTTTCCACAGACTAAACATTTGTGGGGTCTCTCTCTTGGGAGGACTGCCGGATGTTTCATAAAGGCTGGATGGTTTCTGAAATTTCCCTGACAGTCCAAGCACGTACATGGTCTCTCTCCTGTGTGGCTCATCTGATGTGTATTTAGTACGAGCTTCCAATTCAAACAGTTCCCATACTCAGGGTATTGAATTGCTGTCTCGCCCATGTGGCTTCTCCCAGGGTTACTGAAGTCTGAGGCGTTACTGACACTTTCCCCACAGTCCAGGTATTGAAGGGTTTCGTCTCCCGCGTGGATTGTTTGAGGTGTTACAAAGTGCAAACTGAGAATTAAGCCTTTCCCATCCTGGAGGCAGAGGTACGGCTTCTCTTCCTTGGAGTTTGACTGCTGGGATGCGGGACTATTGTATCCTTCCACACATATAATAGACTCAACTATTTGCTCCTTCGAGTGGGTTCCCAGCAGCCTCTCCGACTCCTGCCAATTTCCGCAGGCTTCTCCCTGTTCCAAGCACTGGAAAAAATTCCTTTCTGCTCTTCCCACAAAGCTCCCCCGTGGTTCCATTTCCCCAGGGACATCCTCATGCCAATCCCAGGCCTCGTTATCCCTCAGTGCGTCGTCACCTGGTGGGAGAGAGAAACAATCCAGGCAGGAGTCAGTATGTTGGGGCAAAGAAGAACAGCCCCCAGGGGAAATCCGAGACAATAAAGTTGTGAACACTGAGGCTATGTCTACACTGGCGCGATCTTGCGCCAGAAGTATGCAAATGAGGTTAAGCGTGGCATATCGCCGAGCCTCATTTGCATATCTAATGAGGTGCCATTTTTGCGGAAAAGGCTCTTGCGCCAGAAGGAGCTGTCTACACTGTCTACAAGAAAAACCCTCTTGCGCAATGCCATTATTCCTGAAAATAATGAGCGTAACAGCATTGTGCAAGAGGGGTTTTTTGCGCAAGAAGGGGCAGTGTAGACAGCTCCTTCTGGCGCAAGAGCCTTTTCTGCAAAAATGGCGGCTCATTAGATATGCAAATGAGGCTCGGCGATAGTCCACGCTTAGCCTCATTTGCATAATTCTGGCACAGGATCGCGCCAGTGTAGACATAGCCCGAGTGACTGAATGGTACCTCCACCTCCCATCCAAACACTCACTGTCCAGAGGGAGAGGAGGAAGAACCGAGGACAATTAGTAAAACAACATTTTAGGAATTCTCAGCTTGTGCATTCATTCACCGGAGGGTTTCTGTGTCGGTCCTCACCTGTGCGGGTGCCTCTCAGGATCTCTCTTTCCTCCCCGGCCTGTAGGTCGGGCACCCAGGGCTCTTCCCCTCGTTCCAGCCGAGCGATCAGTTCAGGTTTGGGAACGGGGAACCCTGCGCAGGGGGTGAAATCAGAGCAGATCAGGGCGCGGGGAGGGTGGGGAGAGCATCTGTCCCAAGGGACATTCCGTGAGTGGAACCTGTCCCCGGGCTCTGCTGGGGAATGTGCAATCCAAGAGGACGGGAACATGGTCACTAGGGAGGTGACCAGGGAGGTGAGGAGAAATGGTATGTCCTCACTCTGGGGCCCTGGTGACACACTCCCACCTCTGCAGTTTAACCCCTGCGCCTCTTTCTATATCTGCAAAGCCCAGATCCCTCCCCACGACTGGAGCTCGTCCTAAGGAGGTAGGTGAGCAGGGATTTGGTTTCTGAATGTGAAACACCCCAGGCAGGACAATGTAGGACTTATGCTTCGTTGAAAGATGGAGAGGTGAGATAGTTTAGCTTGCGCATTAGTTTTTCTCATCCACATCCCATTGGAGAGGGAATGGAGATACAAGTGTGTGTCACACAGCTGTGCCCCGTGACACCCATTCCTGTCCAGGCGACCTGAGCAAGGAAGAACCAGACACGTGTCAGACACGCAGACCCCGCGGCTCCTAATCCCCGAGGGGCCAGGACTCCCTTACCCAGCGAGGTCACCGCCTCGTAGTTCTCCAGCATGACGTCCCGGTAGAGGGCTTTCTGACGAGCATCCAACAGCGCCCCCTGCCCCTTGGTGAAATACACAGCCACCTCCTCAAAGGTCACCCGCATCTGAAACAAGAGTCCTGCACTCAGCCACTGCAGCCCCAGCCACAATCCCACTAGTGGTGGGAAAGAAAAAAAAAAAGCTCAAAGCTTCCCACCCACACCCTTCAGAGGGACTTGGAGACTTTCAGGAGGTGGAGGGGGAAGGTGAGAGCTCTTCCTCCCCATTCGCTTTGCTCCTTGTACCTAAGCTAAAGCACCCAAAAATCAGGTGGGTTACGACCAGAACAATTGTAAGGGGAAAAGAGGGAGAGGGATGTGCTGAGCTAGGGGTGTTAAAATGCGATTGCGTTCCTAATCGATTGGTTGGCAGATTATCTGTTGACTAGTCGATAAGGATAGGCAGTTCTAGTGCTCAATCTGGCTAGCGCCAGTTCAGAGCATAAATCTCCCCAGTGGCTGCTCTTCATTGTACAGCCTAGGGAAGCCGCACACGAAGGCGCTGAGTCTGTCCTTGCTCCATGCGTTTCTTTTCATTCATCACCAGACAGAAAGACAGACACACACGGAAAGA